TTTTTTCAATCATACGGTACAAGCGACCCATAGAAGACTCGTATAGGACAGAAATATTATAAAAGATGGTATAAAAAATAAAAATAGAAATACTATAATTATAATATCACAAAATAAATTACAAAAATTCAATTTATAACAATCCAGGCATATTATTACTCTGAAGAATAATACCTATTTAAATCAATAAGTACAGTACAGCGAACGCAATATGTTTTCCATACAATTAATTAACTATAAAAAAATAATAGAAGTCTTTCACGCAACTTTAACCAAAGCAGTGGCATGTTCATAGATGGTATTTCACGCTAACTTCATGTGTAATTCAAGGGTAATTCCCATGAAAATAATATAGGAAAAAAAGTTTATTACTATATTCATGAAAAGCATCATAATATAATTGTATATGGATTTCAAATTATAAGGTGTGTGTAACTATAATATGTACTTCCCATTTTTATATAGAATTTACAGTTTATTCACGTAGCAGGTTAACACACTTTTATTGTGTTGTACACACATACCAAAAAACGTATGCTCGGAAATATTAATTTTGTTTCACTTTGATGTCGAAACACGTGACTATAGTAATAATTATTTTTCATTACATTACGCTACCTTTTTTTTTCTCTTTTCATGGAACTCATGCAACAATTAAAATAATTTTATATTGATTGGTGTAGTGGAGGGATATAAAATTCGTATAACTATATTAGAAAAAAAAATGTGTGTGCACTATGTGCGCATATTTGAAGTGAAACTTCTTCTTACTTTCTGTCTGTCTGTCCGAGGACTTCTACCGACCCCATCTACATTCCGAGTTTCAGCCCCCTAGCTCACATAGGGCCCGAGTTACGACTAACCTCCGATCGTTACCACTTTTCCTGACGCGTCTCGTGTGTCACGGCCTTCAATGTTTACTCCCGTCGCGCGTAAAGAAGTTTCACTTCAATAAAGGCGTTATGAAGTTCTTAAAACTACAAAAAAAGCTGTAACTACCCTACAGTAGTACAGATAAAAACATACAAATAAAAACTTTTAAGCGAAAGCTTTTAGTTCAAATTTAAAGCAATACCGTTGGTCCATGTAGAGAAAGAACAATAAAAAAGTAAAAGTAACAGGCAATACAGTTCGTAAGACAGCTTTTAAATCGTTGACATTTACTATATATTTACATAGTACGGTACTAGCGCACGTTCGTACCTACATAGTACGTAGTGATTATTTTTGTTATGCCATTCAAGGTTGCCAACTGCAAGAAAATCATAATCGATTTCCATTGTATATGTATATCTATCTACATATTCAGAAAATCAGGACACTGCTTTCCAATTTTAAAGGATTTGATAAATATGTACGGTATGATCGAAAAATCAGCACAAGTTGACTTGGAAATAACGATCGAATTTTACAAATAAAACGTCAGCTATCATCATTTCCAAGCCAACTCTGACGCCGTTTTTGTAATCGTATAATGTATAATAAATGATTATACCAATAAAGATTAATCGGGTACTCAATGCTTTTGACGAATTAAATAAAATATTGAAACAATATTATCAATGAGTAAAGGTTTAGTTAAAAAAGGATTTCTTAACTTAAATTATATCCTACAATGATTTTTTTTATAATTCCAAGTTTCAGTTTTAAGGTCGATTCTCACTATACCTTCCGTTTCCTTTCCGTAAGTTAATAATGCCGGAACCCCATTAGGCCACACGCCACGCTATCCCACGTGAGCCCACGTGTTGCGACGTGGGGAAGAGTGTACATATTATGAGATCTGGGACAGATTAATCGCCCATCGCGCGTGTGATAGCGTGGGGTGGCGTGTTGCCTAGTGCGCAGGCAATACATGTAATTAAATGGAAAAACATAAGCACAGATCTTAATGACGTGGCGTGGCGTGTGGCGTAATGGGGTCCCGGCTTAATAACACTATAAATAGAATGACGTATGGCATGCCAACTTTTGACATTTTCGCATATTATGCTATATTTGAAATTGTACCATGCGACTTTCTGATTCGAAATACCAAATTTGAGGTATCAAATTATTCGTAAAAAAATGCTTTTCCAAATATGCTAATGAGCCACCCTAGTTCCATTTGAAAAAAATTGAGATATTATTAAAAACACGATTTGGATATCTTTTGGCAGGCCGGGACAAGGAACAAAAAACATTAGACGATCAAATATATTTTTTCAATTCTCCTTGATTAAAAATTAGTGTTTTTAACAGAGCCATGGCATGGCACTCTAGATTGAACGTGGCTAACGTCATATCCAAGGCCTGACTGTTTTGACAGTTCTACCGAAGTGGTCGAGAATTAGCAGTCGTAAACAAACCTATTGTTTTCATTAGTTTCGCAACAAATCTGTGTTTTTTACGCGTTTCTATGCTAATAAAATTATACTAAATAATTTTGAGTGTAGTCTGAGTGAATAGTGAACTATCTAGATCCGATCCATAACATCGTACCAGCGAAAAAAAAACATACTTTCGGTAAAAATTATAGTAAAACTGCGTGTCCGGACTGGGAAAAAGTTGGGGAATTTATATAGAAAAATAATTAATAGCGTTAGTGTTAGTGTATAGTGTTAAACCAACGTAAGTGACGTGTATTTTTATGTAAACAGTTTTCGTGTCTTTATTTTTACTTTGTGAAATAAAAAATTCCGCGACATTGTTCTGTGCCTTGTAGCAGCAATTATAATAAGTCCTCAGGATCTGTCTACATTCTCTTTCCCAACAATATTAACTGTAACTAGGTCACGTCCAAAACCTACAGAACATGCTGTGCCTACAATGTTTCCAAATCAACCCTCTTATATGACTGTGCATGTTCCCATAAAGAGAAAACATCCCGATGAAAGAAAACAAGATTTGGAAATTCAGGATGAAATAAATATTGAAAAGTATTATTATTATTATGAAATGGCAATGTATTTTAAAGAAATTAAATGATTGTACTTTATTTCAGTATTTTATATAAAAAAAATGATATCTTTATCTTTTTATTTACGATTTATGAAGATGGTTACTTGATGAACATCGAACTACAAATTACCTTATGATATAATAGTTAATTCTACCTGATATCCACATTTTTTAAATATGTTAGGCAAATTTTTACAATTATTTTTAATTAAACTTTAAAATGTATTCTGCCCTTATCATATACAATACATTTTCTTAACTTGTCGATAAAGTATAGTTTTCAAATTTTTTAATATTTGGAAGCTTTTTATCACAAGGTATATTATTACTAGTTGCTAAATACTCGCCAACGCAATTTTAGGACATGCTTTTTATTATCTGGATTTTATTCTGTTCATCTTATGCTGTAGTTTATTTCATATTAATATTCGTGTTTTAGATCTAAATTTTAATGCTATTAAATTACTTTAACGCGATAAAAAGTTAATGTTATTTTTTAATACCTTTGTGTATAATATTTTTCATATTTATATCTGGCAAAACTATCAATAAATACTATTATTTATGCAAAAACTATATGCAATACCATATGGCACAATTCAAAAGCCCGACTATTGCGGTGACGTCACAAATCGATGTCTCTGGCCTGTATCTCATGTTGGTTATGGATTGAAATTTAAAATACCATTTTTTAAGCGAGAATGTCAAAAGTTGACATATGATATGTCATTCTATTCAGAGTGTCATTTACTATCGAATAAAGTAAAAATATACCGAAAGCACCGTCTAAAGATATTCTATAGACGGTGCCGAAAGTGCCATTTAAAAATCAAAAGTAGTAATTTCCGGTGAAAGAGGAAGTGACTGAAAGTTTCGTTCTTACGGTTTTTATATTTTTTTTTAACTGAAACAGCTACAATAATATTTTGTCTTTAGGAACAACCTATATTAAAAGAACTAAAAAAACTTAATTAACTTGCACTCTATTCAGTTGTATAAAGCTGCGACTAATAGGTAAAAAACATAAAAAACCACAGTGTAATAATGCACAAATAGGTACTAGGTACAAAATCCACAAAGCCAATTTTACTGTATTGAGGGTTCCAAAACCTTTCAACTATTGGAATGTTGCGACCAAAATCTACCTGCTTTAAAGAGATCTGAAGAACCCAAAAAGACCGGAGTTTGTGGCTATTGATTTCTGAGAACAGGTGTCCAAAGATATTAATCACATTCTTAACAAAAACAAACAAAAATAAAGAAATGTTAATAGTTTATACAGACTTGCTTTATTTATATACCCCTGCCTGTTTACATACCTGCTATAGACATGTAAGTAATGTTTATATTTTTATCGTAAATTATAACTATTCTTTAAATATTTTAGGTACTTTGTTGTTAGTTAGATAGTGCTGTTATATTGTTATAATATGTTGTTAGATTGTTTATATATTGTCACGTAAAAGGGTACAACTTAATTTATAATTTACTATTATTTTTTGTCTCTTGAGTAAAGATAATTAATTAAAAAAATTGATTATTTAAACCTTTAAATTTAAACTATAATAAATCACTTAAGACCAGAAAATTCAGATTCCATGCAATGATCTTGAAAATATTCGTTCCCAATGTCATCATCCCATCAAAAGTCCTTGTACGTGGTTCGTCGCCCTCTCGGATGTACCCCCCTTTACGCCTCTGTACCAGAGTTTTGCGCCCTAATTCTACAGACACCTATGGACTTGTAATGCTTGAAAATACCGACCTTGAAATGTTTTTCCTCTAACTAGACTGTCTTGTTGGAATACTGATCATTGAATATACTGAATGAAACTTGGTTATTAAATAAGAAATTGAAGCTTCAAATATTACTGAATACTGGCATTAGCTTAAAGCGATATGTTTATACCAATAAATACATTAAAGAAACTCCCAAATCGTGCAACAACTGTCCACACAGATGACCAAACAAGAAAATAATGTCAAATAAGAAAAATACCATAATAAACACCTGTTTGCGTAATTCTATGCGACGTTACAATATTTATAGAAAAACTTACCTCAGACGCATTCAAACTTAAATTGTTTATAGCTAAGTTATCCATAATGGCAAAAAATATTTTTTACGACTGCCCCAAGTTCATTTTCCGCAGCTTCTCAAGTTTTGTCGCAACACTTGGTCACTGGTCACTAGATTTTTAAATCCCAAGGCATCCTTAAAGAATCCGACTTGGATTTAAGTAATTTCGGCACGAATTTGGTCACATTAACACTATCAAAGTAATTTTAAATTGTAACTATTTCACCAAAGATCACTTCAAGAATTTTAAAGAGTATTGAAAAGTCTATGAAAAGTAGAAGAAAAGTTTTGAAAAGCGGTACCTTAACCTCCTCTTTACGCGTCAACAGAGATTGGCGTTCTTCTGTTGTTTTGTTCGTCTCTCGCTCAGCGTCTCGAGCTCCTCCGCCGGACAGATTAAGAAACTCAAGTTGGATTGGAGAAACGATCCCTACTCTACTTTCTTGTTGCCGTTTGCCAACGACTTGCGACCGGAATTTTATAAATGAAATAAAACTATATTTGACCGCATTTTTCAAAATTTTCTTACTAGACGATGTACGATAAAATAAAATTTGTTTACTTAATATGTTAAAAAATAGTTTTTACCAGGCGCGGGCTTTAACGGTTAAAAAATCAAACTACAAAGTAGGTACGCTTAATCGTAAAACAAGGGTAAAACTTTTCGATCATACTGTATATTTCTATACATTTAAATTCCTATATTCTTAATTCTTAAAATCTACAGAATTAATATATAACAAATTGTGACATAAGCGCTTAACATTAACAATAGCTGCATTGTAAGTAGATATGTAACATTAGTCTATTGGTATTTGGGTATTTGTTATTAATTAACTCTTCAATTTATTGAGTACAATCCTTGGTACAATCGAGTACAATAATTCTTAAGAAAAAACGATTTTAAGGCGTGTGGCGCCATCTAGATGTGAAGCTAGAAACAATAGAATAGAAAATATTACAGTTCACTTTGCATTAGTTCCCTTCACTGTTAACAAAAGAAAAACGCCATGTATTTTACTGTTTGTGTTGATTACAGGCTCTAATCCTTAGCTCTATAATCTAAGCTCTAATCCTTCTCTAATCGAATAAAAAATATTTATTTCTATGTGTTAATCCTGGTATAATATAATCAGTCGAAATAGTTGTTGGTTTTAGTGCCCCCTGCTAATCTGATACTTTCAAGTCAGGTAAGATTCTTTACGGAGATATTTTAATTTTTGATTAGTTGGTAAATATGTGATAAGTATTTAAAGTTGTTCGTTATCGATATAAATTTAAACTATTATAAAATCTTTCAGATATCGATAATAATTTCATATTTAATATTAGAAGAAAGCTTTTATTTCTGAATACCTCCAAAATTACACAGTCGAATTCACTAGAGTTGCCACCTTTTTGCAAAGTAAAAAAAGGATATTGGACTATTAAAAAGGACCGGAAGGAGAGGGGAGGGGGTAAGCTGTTGATTGCGAACCCCCGACTATAAATCGCCACTTTAAAATTTTGAAAAGTTCATTTTGAGTTCTAAATAATGTTGCCGATTCTAAACAATAGTATATTAGTATAGGTACTTTAGTTTTATAGAATTAAAAAATTATACTTTTTGCGGCGAGGCTGCACGTTTGATGACATTACAGGCGAGGAACAGAAAGTAAATAAAGTAATTTTTACTCCGAATAGAACACTGTTCCCGGAATTCTATATCTATATTAAGGCTGATTTACACGTACGTCAATACTTCTGTGTCAATCGCTGACACAGTGCAACTATCGCTGTCCTCCATTCGCGAACTTCGAGTTCCGGGCTTTACGCCCTGGGGCTACTCGAGAACGGTTCTGAAAGGAGCGGTGTGCGATAGCCTGGTGCCTCCATATGGCGCGGAACAGTTCTGGAACTTTATGACTCAATTGAATGGAGTGAGAGTATCGCGTTCTTGAACAGTTCAGAGCTGCTCAACTGCGTGAAAGGAGGACAGTCTATCATGCTAGTGCTGGCGTACCAGTGAAACTGTCAACTGTCGCTAGCTACTGGATACCCTTCATAGTTAACATGTTTTTTTTTCACATATTCACATAACTTTAGTTGTGACAAAATTGTTTATAATATCTACATATATCACAGTTAAATATAGTATTTATGTCATCTGTGCTCTGTGCTTAAATTTCACTAGTCTTCATGCGTTCTCTGCCGATGCTGCTACTGCTACCATCGGAGAATACAGTAAAAAGCCGACTAAACAAATTAATTAAGAGGTTTAATATAGCGAGTACCCTCGAGTAAGTACAATTTGTGAAAATTCTAAAAAATATATCTTCAGAAGGTCTAACGTATTAAGGTGCGATCACACCCGCTGCACCGCGCAAATCATTTTTTTAACATGTACTTTTGAAGTGTATTTTTTAGCGCGCACAAAAGTATATGTTAAAAAATGATTTGCGCGGCGCGGAGCGGCGCAGGCGGTGAGAACGCACCTTTATAATTTATTACTCAAGCTAATAAAACTTTTTAGATTAGTAATAACACGCTGGGTGCTTCCACTACGGTAGCGATCATAGTTTTTTATGTACCGGTTTTGCTAGCTGAGACATAACTAGGGCTGTAACGTTTTTTTTTATGTTTGATGTTCATAATTATAATTTTAGAACACATCCATTTTAAGATTAAGAGGAGGTGTACTATATTATCGATTAACGCGTCACCTAGTTTGGGTTCTTTTTCAATTAATTTTTGCTACCCGAATCAGCGTTACATCACACAAACTTTGCACCTGAGAATTTTATAGTTTCAATAATTATTGCACTAGCAAACACTAAAATACTTATATGGAAAAGCATTAATACGCATTTTAATACGCAGAAAAAAAATCGTGGGTATTTGGGAAGGCTCGAAAGGAAACAATGTTTTGCGACGTTTCGCGACTTTATTGTCGCTTCTTCAGGCACCAAAACATATATTAATACATATTATGCATTTAAAATCGTGATTATTGTTAGTTCCCAGTAGTTAGTACGCAGAAAAAAAGATCGTGGGTATTTGGGAAGGCTCGAAAGGAAACAATGTTTTGCGACGTTTCGCGACTTTATTGTCGCTTTTTCAGGCACCAAAACATATATTAATACATATTATGCATTTAAAATCGTGATTATTGTTAGTTCCCAGTAGTTAGTACGCAGAAAAAAAAAATCGTGGGTATTTGGGAAGGCTCGAAAGGAAACAATGTTTTGCGACGTTTCGCGACTTTATTGTCGCTTCTTCAGGCACCAAAACATATATTAATACATATTATGCATATTAATATATGTTTTGGTGCCTAAAGAAGCGACAATAAAGTCGCGAACCGTCGCAAAAACATTGTTTCCTTTCGAGCCTTCCCAAACACCCACGATTTTTTTTTCTGCGTACTAACTACTGGGAACTAACAATAATCACGATTTTAATGTTATTTCAATGCGATTAACATGAACAGTAACCAAGACTGCGTTAAATAGAGCCGGAAAGTTCCGATTTCGGCCGTACCGAACACTGTTGTCGAACTTTTAAAAATCAACAGAAATGCATAGATAAATGAAACAAGTTTAGATTGGAAAGTGCCCATAAGGACAATGTAAACACTATTTGGCGCTATTCTTGCAACGGTCGCGACCCAAAACTTTTGAAAATTTCGGAGCGGTTCGGCTTTTTCCGGAATTATATCGCCAAATATTGTTTATTCAAATTTATTATTATTTTCGTTTAATTTTATAAATAAAATACAGTGTGTTGCATTCAAGAAACTTTATTTTATATAAGGACGCATGTATGAAATACCTATGAAACATTGGAAACCGACGTTATGCCACGATCCACGATGGTTTTTGCAGTTCACAGTTCACAGCACAGCTTTTTAAGTTTTTAATGCCACTTTTTCACAATTATCACCGGTTGGAGTAAATAAAAGTTGAATTGAACTCACAAGATAGCAATAATTACTTTGAAAATGGACACTATAAACACTTTTCGGAATTTCTTTAATGAGAGCGGTTTAGATTTTGAAAGATTATTATGATTTTTGAAGATTCTGACTTTGACAAGAGAAAATTATTTCTGTTTTTGTTTGCCGTTGTTCTTAGCGACCGCTATAGCAGCGCCAGGATCGCGTATAACGGTCGCGACCCAAAATAATTTCGCGACCCAAAATTTTTACGGGCTTTCCAATCTAAACTTGTTGCATTTATCTATGCAGAAATGCTCCAAGCCTGTAGGCTGCCCAACGGATCAGGGAGGATTTTTAAAGATGGCATCCAAAAAATGACAGAAAATGCGACTTTCCTGTGAATTAAAATGATAGACACTACTGTAACTGTCACGGATCCTCTCATTAAGCGTAGTTTACACGGGATAGAAAATTGCGATAGAACTTGCTAGAGTAACTTGCGATAGTGTTTAAATTTAAGCAAATTTTAAAGCAATTTCTTGCAACAAATACTTTCTAGGCATATGATTTGAGCAAGAAATTGCATGCACGTATACACGGTATAGTGTATATTGCACAAGTATATTGTTTAGTAGAAAAATGTCGCGCCGTAAAAAGAGAGCTGCAGTCACTGCTCTTGTTACAATTTTACGCAAACAGTCAAGAAAATCTAGAAAAAGAATATATGGGTTAAAGAATGGATTGTCAGAAGGCCTAGGTCTTGGAGCTTACGCGATGTTATTAAAAAAAAAAAGAAATGAAGACCCAAAGCATTTAAACAATTTTCTGCGAATTTCAGAAGTCGATTTTACTTTTTCTTTTTTGATTTTGTTCCACTCCTGGTTTGCTTGGGTACGTATATTATGTAGCTTCCGCTGAATCTCAGCCCCAGTTGTGTTGAATTTGTCAGCTATAAATTTGATTGCTTTTTGCTTTTTAGCTCTATCTCTGTAAATTTTCGATTTTTTTGCCACAACTCCTGAAATCCTTCAAATAAATTAATCAAAGTGATGGTATCTTTTTTCAACCACATCTCCATTTTAATATCGTTATTTAACACGCCTTCGAAAATCACTTGCACCAAAAACTTTGAACAAGACGGAAATAAATTTTAACTTGCCAGAGCACTCTCCCAACCTGTTTACACTTGCAAGCGTCTTTCGTCGCAATCACTTCCCCACCAGTTTGTAACTTGCTAGGAGAGTGCTTTCGGATACTGTTTACATTATGCAAGTTTGGTAGAAGTGCTCTCAGACATATACTTGCGATAATTTACTTGCCCGTGTAAACTACGCTTTAGACAGTCTATGGTTAGGGGACTATTAAGTGTTCTGTAAAATACATAAATCTATAATAATTTTATCTAGAAGAGACTTTATTTATCAGATTCTCTATATTTTGAATGAAAATATGTGATTGGGTAGGTTTAGCCAAATTTAGCTTAGCTTAATAAATAAAAGCTAAATACTTAGGGAGATGGAGAGGGAGAGGATTTAAATTAGTTTACACTTGAGGGACGGTCAGTGATTAATAACCTCACCGAAACGTTGTGTAAAGTTAAATAGCGACAATGAAAATTAGAAGTTCTTTTAGTCAATATCGAATCATTGTCTACCACATTCACTAAAAATCTTAATGGTGATACTATTTTTTATAACATTGAAAGATAATGAAAAATAAAAGTCTTGATTACTCGTTGTTATACCAAATTATTAAGGAATGTACAGACTGTTAAAAATGTTAAGACTATTTAAAAAAATAATTTAATTGGTTTAAAATAAATGGTACTTCACTCCGTTTTTTGAGGAAACGATTTCTTTTTCTTGATTGTCATTTTTTTTAACAAAATTGATCCCTTGACTTTTACAGTATATTATGAAAAAAGTAAAGCTCGCGTCGATATTCATGTATCCTCATCCTCATGCTCATTTTCTAGCGATTTTGAGATGTGCAATGTAGAATGAGTAATTGGGTGGGGTTAATCACCGCGACCTTAAAGATCTATTGTGTCCTCTTTTCTTGAGTTATAATTCATCATACAATCTATCACTCATCATACATGGGGATCTTCCAGTTGTAGACGGAACAAGGCATTTTCCATCCTCCTCTGACAATAAATGTTGATCCTCCTAGGAGTGGCTATCTACCTTTTACGAGGGTATGTATATACCCTTACACGGTTGGGGTTTAGCCCTCCGTGCCCTTCACAGTCGAGAAGCTTGTCTCCGGCTGAGGTACCCATGAGGTGGAGGCTAGAGAATCTGTCTCCATTTTCTCCACCTCTTTAACTTGGTCTCTCCTTAGACCTGATACTGGTGTTGTCTCGAATCTATAATAGAGGATATATTCCTATTTCGCTATTGCCTCCTTGCATTTTATGTGAATCACACTGGAAAGGTTAGACGGTCCACTTCTACAGAACCCCGCATGTAGAAGTAAGGGAGACGAGAATACAATGGGTTGCCTCCTGGAGCCCCAAGATTGAAACCAGTAGAGGCTAGTCTTCTATGTAGCGCAAAGCCATTCTGCGGCCGCGAGGGCATATTGTGGCTCTCTGTGGCCGCGACACTACAGCTAGAGACAAGACAATGAGATGCTCCTGCTGAGGCCACCGTGGAAGCAAGTTACCTGGGGGTAGTGGGTATCGAGGAGCCACTTGAGGATCAGGCGTGTTCGATATTTTCAGCCAGGCGTAAAGTAGTTTTGCTCTAAAAATGGAAGAAAAATTGTAATGCACACGTTTGTGGACGTCCTTTCTAATTTGTTTTGAACTTTATTAAGTAGAAAATCAAACGATTTTACACTCATACGTGCATAATTAAAAAAATTGTCAGGGTAATTTCGCATTTTCTTGTAAACTCGCAAAAATTCTCCATCATGGTCTCTAATGCAAGTTATACTCAGGCACCCACGTCTTCTTATTTTCCATATTTACAAAATTCACATAAGAATTGTCACAGAGCAGAAGCCGTCTGGCAAATTTTGAAAAGGGCATGATACTAAAGACACTCAAGGGAGCTACAATTTGCAACTGAACTTGATTAGATTGGTTATTGTTTTAATAATTTTCCGTCCACTACTGCGTACAAGGTATATTTACCCTCTACCCATTAACCTTTACCTTTTACCCGACAAGCTTTCCTCCACCCGTCTATAGTGCGGGCTTGGCTTTAGACCCAGCTACAGTGCCAGAAGGGATTTCCCCTAGCACTTGACTAGGAGCTTCCCGACCAACACAAGGTCTCGCATCTCCTAGAGGAAGGAGGTGTGCAATGTAGTTGATTAAATTTTTCGCAAAACCCGTTTGATGAAAAAAAAAGTGAAGAGATTAGAGCCCAAGTATATGACGTTAATTTTCGCTTAGCGCGCACTTAACTACCGATTTGGGTATTCACATCTGACGCACTTAGCGTCTTTACCGATTGCGCTAAGCGATTCGAAAACGACTACCTTAAACGACTTTTTTGCTTGTCGAACTCTCAGTAAAAATAGAAAAAAATATTATTTTGTGCGTTCTCTGGCTCTTTAGTAAAAACTACTTCTTCTTTTATAAATTCCTTAATAAATAATTGATAATTTACGACTTGGCAGCTATAAATATTGTTCAAAACATCGAAAATGCTGAGAAGCGTCTTCAACATTTCCCTCGTATAATAAGAATATGACATCCATAGTAAAATAGGTTGACGTAACTGAACAATAGGTATGAAATTCACGTAGCATTGACATTTTTCATTGTTTTATCCACATATCCACATTTGACTATTAGATACTTGAGAAATTGCGATGCTGCCAATATGTACCAACGCGTATCCAGAAAACGATTCGCAGGGCAACGAGAATACCAAACCAAAATCGACTGCTTGGCGTTCCGCTAATCGAATACTTTCGCTTACGGCTTTGAAAGCGTAATGTTTTTATGTCGATGTTCCAGAATTCTGGCCCAGTCTTGCTAAAAAAAGATTGATATTCAATAAAAAAAGAGCTTTCTAGAATTTAATGGAAATGAACTCTCTTTATACCTGGAAATCGCATGACAAAATTGAAGAAAATATCTAAAGTAGTTTCCGAGATATTACAAGCAATTCGTTTTTTTTTTAAATTTTATCTACGTCAGTGAGTTTTCATAATAATATAGTGAGTTTTGATAATACTATTTTGAATTGAAAAGGTATATATTATAAAAATTGAATGTTGACGAATTTCAGAGTAACAGTGAATACTACAATCAAATTGGAACAGTACGCGATACATAATTTCTTTTCTATTAAGCACATATTAACAACAATTAATGATTGCGTTAAAAATTAAAGGAAATATGGAAACCGGAACAATATTGAGCCATCTTAGTCAACTTCCTCAATTGTGGGACCCTCTTGTTCTCCACTTGCACCCCTTCCTCCTCGGTGCAGTTTGGTCATTATAGGACTGCATATATTTTGTAGTTCTTTCAGTCTATATTCGTATTCGTCTTTTTCAGCCATCTGATTACTGTCCAGCCATTTAATACAATTGTCGCATTCCTTCTGAACCCTACGTTTATCGGAATCGTTTATTTTACCTCCGGCATCGTCCACAGCTTGTCTAAGACTGTAAAACAGTAAAAATGTCAATTAGCCGAAGATATAAGTCATTGTTTTAGAAATTAAATAAAATAAACTAGGGAATGTGGTATCTACAAAATTGAGGAGACCACGAAGGGGTTTCAATATAGCTGTGTTTATGTTAACATGTAAATAGGATACACTCGGACATGCAAGCTTTCAGAAAAAATTAAATTTTTTTGATTTCAATAATTTTTAAAATGACTTTCGATTTAAGTATGTATTCCGAAATAAAAAAATCTTAAAGCTTCATTCAGAACCTCGAAATTAGTGGAATAAATTAGTGGTTTCAGTTAGTGTAGAAGTTTCCTTTAATTTCCTTTTTTTGTTCCTTTAATTTCAATGTAATTCAGAACGTCAAAATTAGTGGTAGTAATTTTCAATCAATAGAAAAAGTTAACAAGCTTTTAAAGCTTTATTCAGAACCTCCGCAATTAGTGGAATAAATTAGTGGTTTCAATTAGCGTAGAAGTTGTTCCTTTAATTTCAATGTAAGCATCCAGAACGTCAAAATTAGTAGTAGACATTTTCAATTATTAGAAAAAGTTATCAAACTTTTAACACAACCAAACCAAACCAAATACACCAAAACACTTTTACTTTTAAGTAAAAGTAAAAATAAATGTGTTTTGGTATATTGTGGTGACTTAGTTGTTTTATTTTACCATTCTTAGATAGTTAAACCAATCTTGTCTTTCAACTTTTGCACAAGCGAGCAAAATGCAAGAAAGAATGTGTGCATTACACAGTTCTTTGTAGATAAAACTGTACTATAAAATTGCGCGTGTGCGCGACAGGCTGTAATACAGGTTGAACTGCGCAAATTTGCCTGCACAGTCCATCTACTTTAGGAACGCTCAATAAATGGTTGGTGTTCCAAACGAAATCCGTCAATTCTATCAATACTGTGTTCATAGTCACTACTATCATGATGCATGTGCACGTGTTTCTGACTCTTTAACAATTACTTTAACTGGTTGTCTTTGAAATGTGCCAAAAAGCTCGTTGTGTATGTTGATATTGTGTTTATTTTCGAGAATTTTTAGTTTTGATTGATACATTTGCCGATCGAAGCCCTAAGCTGCCCAATCTCTAATATAATTTTTAGCTTCATTCATTTTGTATCTCTATATAAAATACAGTATTTGTCTGATTCTAATAATAATAATATTAATCTTAATAACTCTGTTCTATAATGTCCCATGTTTGCGTTTGATATCTATTCTCTCTGTTTATTGTGTTTTGTGCATAATACTATGTTGGTTGTATCTTTAAAGATGCTTTCTGCTGCTTCCCAAGTTGTTGGTTTTGTCTCGTCCTGGTTCTATTCTCTTATGCCGGGTCCAGACCAAGCAGACAAAACAACGACAAGACAGAAACATTCATGTTTTACGACAAAATTGCGACAAATCTAATACATTTCTGCGACATTCTAGTCTCATTTTTGTTTCGTTTCAAAATTCGGAGACTTTTCAATGTCCCGTCTTGAGTCGGTAAATATCAAAGTGTCTATGTTTTGTTCGTATATTTTACAAGTTGTTGGCGCAGTGTGGGTGGCGTGTGCTGCCAACAGTAGGTGACCAGTAAAATCACACATGGTTAATAAAACTCATTCGCAACAACTAAACTTTTGGCTTTGTTGTACTTTTCTCCTTGCGGTGTGGACAATCTGTCTCAAATTTGTCTTATCAGAATTCCTCATTTTTTGTCGCAAGTTTGTCTTGTTTTTGGCTCAAAACCGGGTTTACTTTTTGTCGCCTTGGTCTGGACCCGGCATTAGACAGTCTATATTATACTTTTTTCTAGTTGTTATGTTTGGTGGATTAATTTTGGCAAGTTTAATCCTTATTATTCCTACTATTAGGTGATGGTCACCGCCAACGTCTGCGCCCTTATTTATTACATATCATATAGTAAAGACTTTTTCTTTAAAGTAAAGAATCTTTCACTTATTATAATGTGATCTGTCAGTTTTTTTCTGATCTTATCAGGCGATGTCCAGGTTACTTTGTGGACTTGTTTCTGTGGTGAGATGGTTCCTCCTCTGGCCAGTCCATTATCAGCACAGAAATTAGTTAGTAGCGCACCATTTTCATTCTTTGTTCCTATACCATGTTTGCCTTTTACATGCTCCAGATTAGAGTTATTATTACCTACTTTGGCCTTACCCATTGTAACAACAATATCTCCTTTCGGTATTTGGCAGAAAATATGTGTTATTTTATAGTAGAATTGTTGTCTTTCTTCGTCAGATGCAGAATTAGTAAGAGCATAGAACGAATGTCATTTTCCGATATCTAGTGTAAAATATTCATTATTCTATCGGAAATGGGGTTCCAAGAGAGGAGTGAATGTTTAGTAAATGCTTGCTTAGTAACAGTGCGACTCCACTTTCATGTGGTGTATTTGCTGATCTCCACTATAAAGCGAGTTCTCCCGTTGTTGTTTTGTGCTCGCCGTGTTCACTTCATCGGGCTTCGGTTATTCCGAGAATATCCAACTTGTACGTTTGCATCTCTCTAGTGACCTGGTTTAATTTAGTTGTCTCGTATTATTAACATTCCGTTCCAAATCGTAGCCTATGCTTCGTATTTGCCAAGGTCGAAATCCGTTCATCGCTTCCGTTTTTCTCTAAAGTTCAGTAATAAGTTTTATTTAGGGCTCTTAGCCGGTTATTAGCCGACCTAATCCGATCCTGGTAGTGGGGCTGCCACTTTGAGGTTTCCAGGCCGGTTTATTCAGGTGCCTTCCTAAAATATCTTCCTGAAACTATCTTAGCTTCACATCCATTCTAATGAGATTAAGGAAGTATAAATGGTGGAGGAAACATCGTTTAAGAAATTAAGTTCCGATGCCTGAGATGGTTCGGGCATTTCGATAGAATTAGCGATGGTGGTTATATGTGTTAAACTTCTAATGGGAGCAATGATAAAAAATGGTCACTAGGTCGTTCGCTATTAGGATCAAGGCGGATTTTTCGACAACGAAAGTTCTACTGTATCAGATCCTAATAGAGGATCGAAGGACATGGAATCAGCCAAGATCCACCCTGAATTTTTGAGCTACTTGGTGAAGATGATGATGGTGACACTCAGTAACTTGCTGGTTTTGAAATAACACGATTTTTTCATATTATTCATACATGACTTCTTCTTTAGTCTTATTGTTCAATGATTTTAGCGAGGATTTTAGCTATTTTTTAGCTTACCTGAAAACGTAAGATTCCAATTTATTTCTGCTCGAGACTTTGTCTCTTTGCATCTCATCCTCTTCTTTATACTGTTCTGCTTCTGCAAGCATTCTTTCAATTTCCCTTTGAGATAAACGGCCTTTATCATTTTTGATAGTGATATTCTTAGATCGTCCTGTACCAGATTCGACGGCTGTCACATTGAGAATTCCGTTGGCGTCTATATCGAAGGTTACGTCGATCTTGGGCACGCCTCTAGGTGCAGGAGGTATGCCACTTAAGTCAAATGTTCCTGAAATTTAAAAAGTATACAATGTAATAAAGTGGTTTGTTCGAGACGATGGGAAAATGGGAACCACGGTTTGGGGGCCTATACCCCAATCAGTAACGAGAGGGTTGTTTGTTTCCTCATAACGGCAAACAAACATAACGTTTTGTTGTTCCATTTTACGAAACATCAGTTATATGGCAAATCATATTTTACTTAAATATTACATATTGATACTGCAAGAACTCTTCACTTTTTATGATATAGCTAACTATAGATTTATTTCTTTTCAGACATGAATATTTTGAGGGTTGAAATGAAATATTCTAAAAGTAAGATTATGAATATCTGGTTCCCACTGAAAACCCGTTTTCAACGAAGAATTTCAGTGAGGTCTATTCGGCGTAATAAAACATCTTTATTTTAAAACACTAAGTATTACCAAAGTCAGTACTTTGGTATTCCATGATTTCAATACCATTTCCTTACCTAACAAGTTGTTGTCTTTTGTCATTGCTCTTTCGCCTTCAAAAACTTGTACGGTTACTGCTGGTTGATTATCGGAGTAGGTAGTGAAGGTTTGGGTTTGTTTGCATGGAATTCTGGCATTTCTCTCCACTATTTTGGACATCACGCCTCCAGCTGTTTCAATACCCAATGATAAAGGTGTGACATCGACCAGTAGAACGTCCTGAAATCGAAAATTAGTTATGTTATATTTACTTGCGGTCAAAAGAAAAAAATATTTTAGATTTTGAAACTTCTTAAATTAATCACACTAAACTAAAATAGGTAGGTTATTTACTCGATTATTCTGTAAACCAACAAAGTTTTTTGCTTTTTTACATACAAACTTTTTTTTGATTTATGAACTTCTGTTCAAAAGTTCGTCTAAACTCTTCGATCTGTATAAATGTTAAATACTTATCTGCATATAGGCTATACAGGGTGAGTCTTAAATAAGTGCAAGCGTTTTTAGGGGTGGTATATTTCGACCCCACAGTTTTTTTGTGAATTTTTTTTTGAAAATTTGGAATTTTTTAAAAGAAAAATTAGAACTTTTTTTTAGTTTTTCGTTCAAAAACAATTTCTTGATAATATGGAAACATAGGCAGTGGATGAAATTTACTACAAAGGAAACCCACAAAAGATCCAGTGGTTCTCAAAATTTAAACAAAAAATCACTTTTTAATTTTCAAAGTAAAATAACTCGGTTATTTTGGACCCTCGTTTTGGACTAATTTGAAAAACGATAAAAAAAGTGTTATTTTTGTCGAGATCAACCAGCCCTGAAAATATTTGCACTTATTTAAGACTCACCCTGTATAGTTCTTTGTTCGGGCGAAAATGGACGATGTAGAGTGCGTTTAATTCAAAATTCAATAAGGCAAAAGTTTAAGTTAATTATAGAATTCACATCGAAACGCTCCGAAATATGAAAAAAAGGATTTTCTGGGTTACTTTTTATATGCTTTTCATTGAATTGTCAAAACAAATGATTTGTTATCAAATAAAGTACAAATACAAATATTAAATTTGGATTAAAACATTAAAACCTATTTACCGTGATATACCTTTTTATTGTGATATTTAATTGTTTTCTTAATGAGAAATTTCAGTTTTGGCGAACTATAGGTCCTTCTATCAATTTGATCAAAACCAATAAAATGGTTGTTTGTACAACTAAGTAGGTATAGCGTTGCTACCCAGTATAACGTATATCTTGTGTTGACTATTTTGTTAGAGAGCAAAATAAAACACTAATTTACCACAATAGACCAAAACACCTTACTTTTAAACATTGGACTCGCGTTTCGCTAACCATATTAGCATCATTAGCAAATTATCAAAAATCATCAGTTTTTAATTATCTGCTGATGGTGGTTAGCGAAACGCGCGTCTAGTGTTTAAAAGTAAAGTGTTTTGGTGTATTGTGGTGAATTACTTTGCTGTTGTAACACCAAAAGTTGCAACCCCCAACTGTAATATCTACTTGTTAATACAACGGGTAGATTTAAATGGGTATCTATATGTAAATTTTTAAAATACCTGTATTTTAGAACTCTGATCGCCACTCAAAATGGCCGCTTGAACAGCGGCGCCATAAGCAACCGCCTCATCGGGATTAATGCTTAGATTTAAACTCTTCCCTTGAAAATAGTTTTGCAACAGCGATTGTATTTTTGGAATTCTCGTGGACCCACCTTTAAAGATGAGATAATTTTAATTATATTGATTTAGTTCATTTAGGTTTTAGTACTCACCGACCAAAACTACATCGTGAATGCTACTTTTGCCCATATTGGCATCTTTTAGAGCTTTCTCAACTGGTGCCAAAGTACTTTTGAATAAATCCGAATTCAATTCTTCGAAACGAGCTCGCGATATTTTAGTGTAATAATCGATGCCCTCAAATAAGGCATCGATTTCAAGAGTAGCTTCGGTGCTAGAGCTTAAAGTTCTTTTTGACCTGTAAATGATTAAAAGAGGAACTACATTAGTTTAATATAAAACAGTTTTAGCGAATCATTGAAAGTTACACGAATGAATTCCAATGGAGCAAAATATAGCTTTATTAGTCTGGATAAATATGAATGTGTCTTAAGATTAACAAAATTATAACTTTAAGATTCATTAAATAGATATGCCTGAAACTTTATGATACTTATTGAATAAAAAGACTAAAGACTGGATCAAATTAGGGCTTTCATACGTCCGGATTTACACGGACATGTCCGGGTTTTTGAGGTGTCCGGGGTGGCCCGGTTGGAAAGTTTGTCTGATGATCCATGACAGTGACAGCTGTGCTATTTTAATTCACATGTAAATTGTATTTTGTATAGAAATTGTCATCATTCTCATCTATAGAAATCTTCCCTGACACGTTGGACAGACTTCAGCTTATGCTAATTTTATATGCAACGGATAAATTGGTTTGGAAATATCGGTATATAACGTGCAATATTTAATACTCAAAGATTTCACTATGGGTTCAGGGCAAATATATTTAAACTCTGGTTCAGGTGAACATCTCTCGAATGGTTTAAGTCGTATCTGAGCAACAGAAGTCAACTTGTGAGGGTCGATACCACGTTGTCTTCTAGCAAGCCAATAGAATGTGGAGTACCACAAGGCTCAGTACTAGGCCCTATTTTGTTTCTTCTTTTTACTAACGACATTGCTAACATAAACATCAGTGGCAAAATATGTCTTTTTGCGGAATCTTGGTGCGATTCGAACCTCCTGAGTTTCAACATTTCTAAAACTAAAGCTTTGTCGTATAAAAACTCGCTGCAGCCTTTTATACTTAATATCAACACCACCATTGACGTCGTAACATCTGTAAAATTCTTAGGGCTTGTTGTAGACAATTCTCTGAAATGGGACATGCATATCGACAAGATGCTTTGTCGAAAAAAAAAGCTCTGCCTGTTTTGCATTAAGATCTGCTTCTAAGGAGCTTAACTTGTCAGTGGCTAGTTTAAATTAAAATTTATTATGCACTTTTTGAGTCGTACCTCAGATATGCCCTTCCATTCTGGGGTACGTGTTGTGCGACTCAATTTGACCGCATTTTCAAGCTCCAGAAGAGAGCTGTTCGATATTCACTGGGACTAAACAGCAGAACTCATTGCCAGGACTTTAAAAAAAAATAAAATATTAACTCTTCCTTCTTTATTTATATTTGAATCCGTTTGCCTAATACGTAAGCATGTATCAGCTTCTCAAGAAAGGCCATCCCACACTTATCCACTCAGGAACGTGGACCAAGATCTTTATCTACCTACCCCACGGACACTGTCTCCTCAACGAACACCTCAGTAGGCTGAAACTGAGAAATAACGGCGAATGCAGATTTTGTGGGGAAAATGGGGAAACACACCTTATCACTGAGTGCACCGAGACGACGACCATTCGCGCCATGAACCTTGGTACGTCTGATGTCGAGGATGGAGAGCTGGCCTCTGTGGAGCCGTCTCAGATACTGGCTTTTGTTAAAGCCCTGAGACTGTATGATGAGTTATAACTCGTTATAACTCAAGAAAGGGGAACACACAATAGATCTATAAGGTCGCGGTGATTAACTCCCCTCCTAAACATTCTACATTCTACCCCACGGCTCAGAGTTAGTTAAAAGTTCAATTATACGTACATCTTGAAAAAAATGCACAATCACCTGCCATTTGAAATCAAATCCAAATCCATGACATCATTTTCTTCATTTCGCAAAGCATTGAAATCTTATTTACTAGACAAGGCTTTCTACGCCATAAATACTCATATTTTGCGTAAATGACTTTTACTCATATATAATCGAATTTGATCTTGTAAACACTGGGTCTAATGTTTGCTACTACTATATTTACCAATGACAACAAAATAAATTTATTTAGAAGTCATTGATATTTACTATAAACTTACTAAATATTCTTTGACATTGTAAACATTTATAAATGTTTATTTTAAACAATAAGACTGACAATGTAATTTGTATAATATTTTGTATTCTCTTTTGTTTGTTTGTTTACTTTACCTTTGTCTACAAATAGTAAAATTTTTTGACAATAAAGGCATTTTTTTTCTCTTCTATGCAATAGGATAATCCAATTCTGATATTTTTTATAACGTATGATCATCGTGCTAAAGAGAGTGCGGGAAAACGAATCTTAATATTGCTCACAAAGGCAAAAGAGTATACCTATTTAGTGAAATAACCTTGTGTGGATCTTGGTAGTGGATGAACTACTAAACAAATTAACTCTAGCGGGAATACACTAGCAGGAAGTCAAACATCTGGGAATAACCCTAGACAGTAAACTTCTATGGAACAGGCATATTAAGAAATTCATTACCAGCAAAGCCACAAAGGCTTTCATGATATGCAGAAGACTGGCGGGAAATAGATAGTATACCATGATAGTAAGACCCATGATTTCCTATGGAGCAGTTGTTGAAAACTACGTACTGCAACGTACAGCAAGACAAAACCTGTGCAAAATACAGAGACTGGCATGCATCTGCATCACAAATGCCATGAGAACATGCCCAACAGCAGCAATGGAGGTCATTCTGGACCTAACACTGAATTTGTTGAAAATGGAGCTCTCAATGCCCATCGTTATATTGAGGATGTCCTCCAAGAAATTGTCGTTACATTTGCTTCTTTCATTGGAAATGAATGCAGATTCTGAGGGGAAAATGGGGCAAGACCAAAACACCTCATTACTGAGTGCCATAAACTTTGGTACGACTGATACCGGAGATGGAGAACTAGTCTCTTTGTGAAACTGTGTCTCCGATACTGGTTTTTGTCGAAGCCCTGTGACTGTATGATGAGCTATAACTCGTTATAACTAGTGATAAAACGTATAGTTGTTTGGGCGGATACCGAATACCGGATATTCGGTGAGCTGAGAGGCCGGATGGCCGAATATCCGGCAGCCAGATATCCGGCCATCGCGATTTTTTGTGTGAAATTGCTGATGAAAATATTAGACAATGTCGCGATCAAGAGAAAACCCCAATTGCAAGCGTGAACGATTACTACTTGAAAACAGTTGGAATTGATCACAGCCGGGACCCTTAAGCTGGATTTATAAACTCGGGAGTTGAGGTTCAGTTGCCGTTCAAAATGTTCAACGCTATGAAATAAACGCGCGCATTTATAAAGTCAGTTGGTCGAAAAGTTGGCAGTTCGTTTTACGTTCAGCGGAGTTCAAAGATGGTCAATGTTTATGTCGGCAGTTGGGGGCAGTTGGCGACCGCTGGCGACGTTCGGCGACAGCCAATGAATAAGCGCCTGTCGATCACGTGAAGCACAGTACGCCGATGCATTGGAAAATGACCCTTATTGTTGTTTCATTATTTCTGTTAATGTGATGTTTATATTTTGCGTAATCGTGGATTACTGTGTTTGAACTTTGACAAAATACCAGAAGTATTTTTAAATCGAAAGAAAAACGTTCGAAATTTTCACAATTCCAAACCTAACCTACAACCGAAACTGACAGTTTATAAATGCAAAAATATTGAACCTCAACTGCCGCGAACATCCAACTGCAACTGAACCTCAACTGAACGCCAACTTCCGAGTTTATAAATCCAACTTTACAGTTGGTTGTCGAATAACGCAAACCACTAACCCAATTTGATGAAATTTGAGAAAATATACCTAGTGAGAGGTTGTTTTCTGAAGCTGATTTGGTTTAAAACAAGCGAAATCGCCTATTACCGACAAACGCTGAAAATTTAATTTTTATTCGGCATAATTTGCAACTTTTTAATTTTGACTATTAATTTTCTAAAATTCCCATTGATAAAAGAAAAAGAACAAGATTAAAAATCTGTTTTTTTTTCATTTATTATTAGTTTCCTATTTATAAAACGAAGTTTTTATTTTTGTATTTTTCATTAAAGGGAATAATGAATATTTTCGGATTTTTTGAAGTTTTTGTTATTTTCAGCTTAAATAAAAGCAATTTAAACTGTATTTTTTGTTATTTATGTTACTTTTTGAATATCTGGTATCCGGCCGGATAGTGAGTTACTATTCGGTATCCGGCCGGATAATAAATTTAGGCCGGATAGGCCGGATACCTGATAGTTGCCGGATATCCGTTTCATCTCTAGTTATAACTCAAGAAAGGGGGACACACAATAGGGTCTATAAGGTCGCAGTAATTAACCCACCTCCTAGATATTCTACATTTACTCTTTAAGGTAGGCCGCACATCCGAAGAACACGCCACACGTACGCAACCTTTGCGTCGCCACATTTTCTAGCCTACATTTTTGTTGTCGACAAATGTATCATATGTACATCAGAGATATACGTAATTCACATGTGGCTTAGCAACGATATCGGCTTCTTCATCATGTTTTAATGTGGCAATTAATTAGAAGAAAAAGACGTTATTGGGTTCATCCATTTAATCAATATTGCCCAAAGTATGGTAATTGCAGTGTTTCACAACTGTTAAAATCTGACGAAAAAGAGCTCCATTTATATCATCGAATGTCTCCAGATATTTTTTGTTTTACATCTGTTATAATAAATAATAATAAATAACGCTTTATTGTGAAAAAAAACGAAAATAGCATTTACAAAACAAACAAAAGCACAAAAAATATACAAATAATAAAAAATATACAATAGAAATCATACAATTCAAAAAAATTAAGTCATTAAAATTACAAATAGAACATACAATGACATTGCAGAACAGAAAAAAAGGCGTATCAATAAAATTTTACAATAGGAAAATTGTAAATTGATATAATTTTAAGAGTTATAAAATATTAAATACTCGACTTTTGACCAGTGTGTGAGATGATCAAAATTTTAAAATTCAAAATTGTTCATGATTAAACATCAACAAAAAAGTCGTTGACCGCATATAGGGTTCTCTCCAGTAAGTATGATTTCAGAGCTTTGCGAAATGCGGGAAAGAACGAAAGCGACTTGATATTCAAAGGCAGATGATTGTACATTTTTTTGGCATTGTACATTATTGAGCCTTTAATTAGTTCTGAGCTCCTGAGCCTTTAATAAGATCGTGCTCCGCATTCCTACGTGGATAGTTTGTTGTGAGATGGCCTTTCGGGAATAGCAGATATGTGCTTGCGGATTAAGCAAGCGGATTCAAAAATGAATAAAGAAAGAAGAGTCAGTATTTTGAAATTTTTAAAGAAATTCTGGCAGTGAGCTGTACTGTTCAATCCCAATAAATATCAAACTCTTTTGAAGTTTGAAAATACGATCAAATTTTGTTGCGTAGCAAGTACCCCAGAATGGAAAGATGGAAAACGAATGGAAAAACGAAGATGTGATTCAAAAAGGGCATAATAGGCTATTCTAGAAGTTGATAAGTTAAGTTCCTTAGAAACTGATCTTAGCGCTTAGGAACAGGCAGCGCTTAGTTTCTTTGATAAAGGTTCGTTAGTTAAAGCTGTTACTATAATCACTGATTTTATAATTGTATAATTCAGGATTATTTTCAATTTCTGCAATAAACTCAATGTTTTTAATTTTTTTGATACTTATATGTATACTTGTATGTATTCCCGGTGTGCATATCATCAGAATGTGGGAGCGATAATTGTGTCGTGATTCAAATGTGGCGCGATAAATGTAGCGTGACATACGTTCAGCCGCTGTGCAGCCTGACTAACTTTTCAACTGCCTTTAATTTCCCCTTAAAGTAAAGTATGTCATTCTCTCTAATATCTTCAGCCGACATTCCAAGAATGATAGAAATAGTGTATACCTATTAATTAAAACGACAGACAACTGTAAAACGACAAACGATGGACACTGTCACTGTCCATTGTTTCCTTAGCCTTTTTATTCAGTGATGATCGAACTATTGTACTTTTTATTATCAATCGAATATAAATACCTTTCAGCTGCAGTTCTCAATCGCCTCACGGCTCTGGCATTTCCTCGCAAGTCTTTTTTGAATTTTCTCTTGAATTCGTCGGCAAAGTAGTTTACTAATCTATTATCGAAGTCCTCGCCTCCCAAGTGCGTATCTCCAGCCGTGGCCTTTACTTCGAACAATGACCCTAGCGACATTTTGTACGTTATTAGAGTTCATTTTTTTACGGTTTGACATGGTACTGGTACCTTCATCGATCGTAAGAATGGATACGTCAAACGTACCCCCTCCCAGGTCGAAAATCAGGACGTTTTTTTCTCCTCTCAAATTTTTATCCAGGCCGTATGCCAAAGCGGCGGCTGTCGGTTCGTTTATAATTCGCAACACGTTGATACCTGGAAAAATGGCAAATTTAGATTTTGACCCAGTTTAGCATTGATTCGTAAGTTTAGAATACATTAATGTCTGCTAAAATATATTGTGGTGGCAAATAAAAATAATACTATATTTTTAAAACATCTCTATTTTTATACAGGGTGAGTTTTAAATAAGTGCAAATATACACTCAGACGCAAAAAAAAACGCAACGGAGAAATTTTTGGTCAAATTTAAAGTGTTATATTTTTGTTATTTTTAGCCCTATTTTCATGTATCGTTTAGCAAGTTGTATATAATTATATCAACTTTAATTTTGTAAACTCAGTTTTTTATGAACTTTTGTATTTGGCATATTATACAGGGATAAACGAGGGGTTGTTTTTTTCGCAACCTGTGCAATAATTTTGTGTGTAAATTTTCCTAAAATTTAATTTTACGGTCAGAACTCAGAACCATATCTGAGCATTTCGTTTTTTGGATCATGTCAATAGAGGCCTTGGTTAATTTTTAAGAGCGAAATGAACTTACCACCAACAATTTGCAATTTTTTCAATTACCATTTCTTTTTGAAGCTATTTTTCATGAATGAATATGTTTTCTTTAATATCGTTAGTTCTGTTATCGTTATGAATGTTCATTAAAACCAGAACTGTATCGTTACAATGGTCACCAAAACCATCTCGTCATATTAAAAAAATATATCAAAAAGTAATGATAATTGAAAAAATTAAAAATTGATCGTGATCAGTTCATTTCGTTCTTAAAAATTAACCTAAGCATGTATTGACATGAATCAAAAAACAAAATGCTCAGGAATCATGGTTCTGACCGTAAAATTATATTTTACGAAAATTTACATACGAAATTATTGCACAAGGTGTTTTCAAGTTAGGATAAAAAAAACAACCCCTCGATTAACCCTGTATAATATGCCAAAATACTAAATAGTGTGCTAAAAAATTCACGAAAATGGGGCTAAAAATAACAAAAATATAACACTTTAAATTTAACCAAAATTTTGTCCCTTGTTTTTTTTTTGCATCTGAGTGTATTTAGGGGTATTATATTTCAAACCCAGAAACCCCAGAAGAAAAAAAAATGTTTAATTAAAAAACATAATTTCTTCATAATATGGCAACATAGGTAGTAGATTAAATTTACAAGAAAGAAATTCCAGAAAAGATCCAGCGGTTCTCAAAATGTAAGCGAAAAATCATTTTTTTTAATTTTCAAAGTAAAATATCTCGGTTATTTTGGACTTATTTGAAAAACGATAAAGAGAAAATATGTTTCTTTTATCGAGATCTACCAGCCCTGAAAATATATGCACTTATTTAAGACTCACCCTGTATAATTTCAGGAAATGTTTCTGTTATATTAAATTTAGTTACAAAAATACTTAATGATAATATGGGATATATACTTAGGTTGAGTATGCTAATTATTTTATGTTATATCGGATGAGAATGAAATCCTTGAACAGAATTGCATTACTGAAGATAAATGATTGAGGTTTTCGTAAACCTCGCCTACTCATAATTTTTTGCGACACTGTATAAGTAAACATATTTTCTTAAAATTGTCCTAGTCCCCAGTTTAAATCTGTATTTAAACGAAAAACCTAAATTCTTTATTATAGAAGTAGGGGCCGTATAGATGTCCTATTGCAAAACTCTGTATACCATCTATGGCATAAAATATTCTATAAATTTATTCTTACCATATAGAATACTAAAAAAAGCACTGCAGGAACATGCAAAGGAAAATAACCATACAAATCGATAGTAGGTAACATTTCAAAAGGTCTTGCGTGACTACTACAAGTAAAAGAAAATTATTCTTCGAGAAATTTAAATTCTATTAATAACAACTATTCATCGTCAAAAAAATTGTTTAATTATAGCAATTTTTTCAGTCCACTATTAACATTTCGCACTTGAAAGAAAATTATATTATAATAAATAGAAAAACAATTAGAAATTTAACACCCTGTAGCTGCGTAACATAGTAGAATTGGACCTATAATGATATAAAAATAAATATTATTTTTACGTGAGGAATATCCTCGGGAATACCCTTGGAATACCCCATGAGTTAAAAAAGACCCCAAATTTGTTAATAATATTTAAGGTAATTTTCCTTGTTTTTTTTTTAAATGAACGCCCTGTATAAGATTTTTCTTTAGATACAGAATTAAAAAATTACTTTTTTAAGTGTTTCGAAGTTTTTAATGGTTTTGTTGATATTTGAGGTAATACATGTAATACTCACACGAGGAACATATTATGTCTGTTTTTTAACAGTATTTATTTATACAGGGTATTTATTTATACAGTATTTTTTTCTGTATTTGCATCCCTTTTATTGCGGTAACCATAGAGTAAAGCCGTAACTATGGTAATATCTGAGATTAAGGAATTATACCGTGGGAAAATTTGCGATGAGCAGCCAGTTCTAAAAAGTTTTCGAAAAATATACAGGGAAATTTAAAAGAAAATGCACGATTTTTAACATCTTTTTTTAGCGAAAAAAAAAACTCATAGACGTGTTTCTGGGGTCGAAATATACCACCCCTGAAAGTATTTGCACCCTTATTTAAGACTCACCCTGTACAGGGTTGTTCACCACATACGACACGGAGTATTGTAGCTAAACGATGAGATTTTTAAGGACTATTGTGAAGGACAATTAGAGCTACAATTTAAAAATATTTTTACAAGATACAGAGTGTCCCAAATAAATAAAAAATATCAAAGTTGTATTTTTTTAAATGGAACACCCTGTATATTATTACATTTTTAGTTTCTACGATTAAAATAAAGGTAAATTTGATTAAGGTTTATTATACTTAAACCTTACCGTTTTTGAAATATTTTCAATTTTGTGAAATTGCAGTAAAATTTTAAAGCTTCATTTCTCCAAGGTGTCAATGTTTTTTAATACTAAATATTTAATGAAGTTTATTTATTGATCAGTTATTGTGTTGCAACAATAAAAATAATACTACCTTATACAGAGTGTCTAAAAATTTATTTTAAATAATTATTAACTTAAACGGCAATAACTTCTTTAATTTAAATGGAATGCCCTGTATATTTTAGGAGAATCAGATGCACAATTAAATTGTCTATCAAATTGTATTATACCATTTTTTACCTATCCCTTCAAGTTTTCGTATAAAATGCATTTTCTTATAATTTAGACCTCATTTATCAATATATCAATGGAATATTGACATTTTAGATTGTTTTTAAAGCAACAAATGTACAAAATGTACAGACTAGTAATATTATCGTTTTTAGCAAAACGATAATATTACTAGCCCATTTGTATGCAAAAAGAAAACTATTTAAATCTTTATAAAAGAGTATACCATTAATTAAATATAACACCATTATTTCCGCCCATATACTAATTAATTACATACTTAATTGTGTTCGTTAATAAATTATTATAAATAAATGTGGATTTGAGTCAGAAATCAATCAATATAATAATAAGTTATCAAATTAAAGTCTCTGTTGTTATAAATAAGCATTTATTCAAAAATGAAATATCATTTTTAAGGTGTTACTTTTTATCACACTGTCTAATGCCCATACAAAATTCAGTTTTTTAGTATTTGGAGCAATTATTATTAATCAACGCAAACAGTCAGTTAATGTTGTTTGAATACTGGAATCATATTAATTGGTCCTCTTTAACAAATATTTAAACAGTTTTTTTATTTTTAATGAAATAAACGAATTATATCGACAATATTAGTATCTGTACTCTTTAAAAATTTGGTACATCTTTAAAAATAGTCTAAAATGTCAATAGTCCATGGGTATATTGATAAATAAGTGCTAAATTACAAGAAAATGCATTTTCTACGGAAACTTAAAGAGATAGGTAAAAAATGGTATAATATAATTTGATAGACAATTAAATTGTGCATCTGATTCTCGTAAAATATACAGGGTTATCCATTTAAATTAAACAAGTTATTGCCGTTTGAAGCTAATAATTATTTAAAATAAATTTTTAGACACTCTGTATAAGGTAGTATTATTTTTATTATTGCAACACAATAACTGATCAGTAAATAAACTTCAGTAAATATTTAGTATTAAAAACTTTGATAACCTTGGAGAAATGAAGCCTTAAAATTTTTACTGCAATTTCACAAAATTGAAAATATTTCAAAAACGGAAAGGTTTAAGTATAATAAACTTTAATCAAATTTACCTTTATTTTAATCGTAGAAACTAAAAATGTAATAATATACAGGGTGTTCCATTTAAAAAAATACAACTTTGATATTTTTTACTTATTTGGGACACTCTGTATCTTGTAAAATTATTTTTAAATTGTACCTCTAATAGTCCTTCATCGAACCCAAAACTTACAATTTGTAAAAATCTCATCGTTTAGCTACAATACTCCGTGTCGTATGTGGTGAACAACCCTGTATATCATAATGTATCATTGCCACATAGCCACAACACAATTTTTTGTCTTGCATTTTAAGCCAAATAATGAGCGATTCAGTGCACAATTCGATTAACTCTTTTGAAAAATCTTAAATTTAAGTGTAAAACCACTGGTATATTGTAATATTGTTGAGGGTTGGAATTGGAACCTTTGGTGTTACATCAGCAAAAGAAGAGATCTGATCTTACACTGACGGCTGGTTGTTATCAGGTTATTTCCGTATATTCTATATTTTTACTAAGCATATATCATAGGATTTAACGACTTATTGCCCTACAGAGTTTATACATTTTATAGAGACCTACAGTAGGTCTAACTGGTTTATGAAATTAAATTATGACCCTTTACATGGTAATTTTGGTATATTCATTTATTACACATTCAACTTATTATATTTATAATATTTTTCCAAACATTTCTCTGATGTTTGAAAAATTGTATAAATATTAAAAATGATGAATATTACATTATATTACAAGTGGTTTTACACTTAAATTTAAGATTTTTCTATAGGAGCTGTATGTATGACCGACTCACTGTCGCAGGAGTCTGTATGACAATCAAACTTATTAATAAATAATTTTCCGTCAGTGGCGGATACAGAGGGGGCCCATGGGACCTGGGTCCTCACCTAACACACATAAATTGGGTTAAATATTAGCCTTTTGGATTAAAAATGGCGCCATAAAAAGCATATTCTACATTAATTTTTAGTTGGGCCCCCCTAAAATAAATTCCTGTATCCGCCTCTGTCTACCGTTGTCCAAATACGGTTAAATACATACATACATACATACAACTAGTTTGTTTAAGGTGGGCGTGATGAAATGTCACTCGTTACTAATTCAAACATATTATTGGAATAGTATTTTTAAACATACCAGCAATAGTGCCGGCATCTTTGGTAGCTTGACGCTGACTGTCATTGAAATAAGCAGGTACGGTGATAACAGCATCATTGACAGTTTTTCCCAAGTATGCCTCCGCAGTTTCTTTCATCTTAGTCAAAACCATCGAACTAATTTCTTCTGGCGCAAATCTTTTTATTTCACCTAAATGAACAACAAACTGTTATTATAAACCTAGGCAGACAAAATTGTCTCAGAATTTGGTTATACGTCTGCTGATTATCAAAAAAATGCATGTTTTTATTAATTTTTTAAAATACCGGGTGCGTCTCAAAAGTGTCTTTTCAGATAAAAAAACGAGATTTGGTATGTTGGTATATGACATAAATTAGGAATGATTGACGTATTCAATTGTTTTTGGTCACTTCCTGTTTCACCGGAAATGAATACAACTTTTGATTTTTAAATGGTAATAGTTTATTCGATAGAAAATGACAATCTGCATAGAATGACATATCATATGTCAACTTTTGACATTTTGGCATATGGTTAATTTGAAATTATAACTGGCGGTTTGTAACGATAATTTGACTCGAAATACCAAGTGTGTGGTATCAAATTATTCGTAAAAAATGCTTTTACCAAAATAAATATGCTAACGAGCCACCCTTGTTCCATTTGAAAAAATTGAGATATGATTAAAAATACGATTGGGCATCTTTTAACCGGCCAGGACAAGACACTAAAAACATTAGACCATCAAATCTATTTTTCCAAGGCTCCTTGATTAAGAATTAGTGTTTTTAACACTGCCATGGCACTCTAGATTGAAATTTAAAATACAATTTGTTTTTAAGCGAAAATGTCAAAAGTTGACATATGATATGTCATTCTATTAAGAGTGTTGTCAGTTTCTATCGAATAAAGCAAAAAAATACCGAGGGTGCCATTTAAAAATCAAAAGTTGTACTTATTTCCGGTGAAACAGGAAGTTACCAAAAACAATTGAATACCGTCAATGAATCCTAATTTATGTCATATACTAACATATGAAATTTCGTTTTCTTATCTAAAAAAAATAAAAAAGTTATAAGGGTGTGCCACTTTCGAGACGCATACGGTATGCTTTTACTTATTTAAAAAAAACCATTTAAATAAAATCCAACAAAAATCTTCTTCAAAAACTTCTTATACAGGGTAAAAAAAGTGAACACAAAAATTAAGCCGGGCGTTAAGCGGGGGACAATATAAAAAACATCGTGTTTATTACCTTTGAAATCAACTTGAATCTTGGGCTTTCCTCCATCATTAATCACCTTGAAAGGCCATAATTTCATATCTTGTTGGATTTTCTGATCATCATATTTGCGCCCGATTAGCCTTTTTGCATCGAAGACTGTGTTGTTTGGGTTCATAGCTACTTGATTCTTAGCTGCGTCCCCTATGAGTCTTTCAGTGTCGGTAAAGGCCACATAACTGGGAGTTGTCCTGTTTCCTAACAAATTATTTTTTTAATTAGCACAACTTTTATTATTAAAATAAATCGTAATGGGTTTGAATCGTCGACCTGAGCATTGAATATCCCACGTAAAATTTTAAATATGATGAATATAACAAATGTGGTAGATAATGATTCAGTATTTAGACTAAAAGAATTTTGGAACCGGTCTTAGGCTAATAGTTCAGTCAAAAACGTTGTGTAAGTTGTAGAAAAAGGCACCGGGATAACTGATAATTTCTGTGTGAGGGGGGAGTTTCCTTGAGTTATAACTCACCAAACAGTCTATAAGTGTCTATAATTCATCATGCATAAGGATTTTCCTGTTGTAGGGGGACAAGTTGAGGTTCACAGTCGAGGAGCTCGGCTGAGGTACCCGTGAAGTGGAGGCTTGAGGATCTGTCTCCATTTTAACTTGCTCTTTTTAACTTGGTCTCTTTTTAGATCTGATACCAGTCGTGTTGTCCCAAATCTATAATAGAAGATTTAGCCCTTTGTCTCTATTGCCTCCTTGGATTTGAGGTTAATGGGGCTCCCGATCCTTACTAGAGGAGATGATAGCTTGTGTCCCACTTGTGGAGGCTGGTCTCACGCAAGTGTCAACCGCCTCTCCTGTAGTTCCCTTTCAGTGTTGCTAGGGGGTTTTCGCACAGCTTCACAAAGACAATGAAGGAGCAAAATAAAACACTAATTCACCACAACACACCAAAACACTTTTAAACATTGAATGCGCGTTTCGCTAACCGTGTTAGCATCATCAGTAGGATTAAAACTAAATCCGTTCTAATTGTGACGAATTAATGTTTTATTTTGCTCTTGTAATACTCGAGGTTCCAATCCTAATTGTAATTAAAGACAATGGAAGTTCAAAATTCTTTTAGTATTGTAGTCTCGATTGTATTGTCTCGATATGTATAGTCTCGATATATATAGTTAACATAAATTTAGACAAAAAAAAAATATTTTAAATTAGTAATTTAGATGCAAGTTAGATGTGTATCATATACAGGGTGGTACGAATTGTATTCAGGAAACTTCCGCAGCATATTCTGCAGATAAAAATAAGTAAAAAGGTTCATATAAATTTATATCCTAAAATGTTTCGTTTTAGAGATACAGGGTGTAGAAGTTTCATTTTTATTTCGATTTTTTCCAAATAATTTCTGAACTGTCGATAGTTGGTTAAAAATTGGTGTCTGCGTGTTTTTTGGTATGAGCAATTTGATTTCGATATCAATATGACTGCTACTTGTAGGGGGCACCACCTACAAAAAAATATACATTTCCGTCATTTTTTACGTAAAAAACTTTTCCCTTTGTAAATATCGCTACGAGCAACCGCTCTCAAGATATTTCGAATGGAAATAGTCAATACATGTCGTTATTGACATAAAATAAACGTTCAGTAGACATTTATTTGACTGAAATTATAAATTTGGCAACATTTTTTTTTTAAATTAATGTTTATCATAATTTTTCTTCAAAATTTTTCGAAAAAATTATGATAAACGAGTTTCTGTTGAACTTTTGACACACAAACATTTCAGATTTCACTCTTCAAACCAGTTAAAAAATATGTAGGTGGTAGGTACCCTCTACAAGTCGGAATCATATTGACCTGAAAGTCAAATTTATCATGTCAAAAAACTCCCAAACACCAATTTTCATCCAAATATCGACGTTAGTTCAGAAATTATTTGGAGAAAAAATAATAATAAAAAATCGAAATAAAAATAAAACTTCTACACCCTGTATTTCCAAAATTAATCATTTTAGGTCATACATTTATACGAACTTTTTTTCTTTTTTTTATCTGCAGAATACGCTGGCTACCCGGTAGCTAACATATACCGGGTGGTTCATCGTTGTTGGAAACAGGAAATTCCATGCAAATTTTGAACTGTTCAAATATTGGCTCCCATATTGATTTTACAGCGAAGTCGTAAATAGATTTTTTAAAGGTTTATGTATGGTAAATACATATGCCAAATTTGAACAATTTTGGACTAGACGATTTTAAGTAATTTTAGAAAAACTGAATCGATTTTTAAATTAAAACTCAATAGGTAACATATAGGTAACAATCAAATACCAGTCAAAAACCGACGTAAGCGTCATTTTCGAACGTAACATAATTTTGATAAAATTTTAATATTCAGTACTAGTAATAATAATAATTATTTATTGTTATACACATAAAGAAAAAGTGAGCATGATAAAATGGTGATACGCGGGAAATAGCTTAGACAGTGTATCTGACATGTTTCGGTTAATTTCACCCATAGAAAAACAAATAAAAAGAGACTGGCAAATTAAATGGCAAAGAGAGGGACGACGTTCCCGTAGCGCAACTCAGAACGCAAAATTTCGTTCTATTTATGTTGATCTGCGCATTGCGTTTATTGGGTCCACTATCTCATTCTAATATAACAAGAGAGAAAGAAGCAACCATATAAAACGTAATTTCTAAATATAAATTAGAACAATCGCCTTTCGTTTTCGTCATCATGACAACCAAGATGACAACATTATGACAATTCGTCATGTTTGTTAATTTTTCTTTTGGTGATTTACCTTTTTTTCTAAACTATCCATTTTATTGACTTATGAACATGGTATAAAGAAAACAAGGTATGATCGATAGCGGTTCCAATCTCGTTAAGTTTGCGCATACCACCTGTGACGTCATACGCCATCCACAAAAATATCCATATTGTGCAATTGCCACTAATTAAAAAAGACATAAAATAGGGAAGAATTAGGACATAACCCCAAAAGTTATGTCAAACATAGTCAAATCATCGAGCTTGACATTTGAAAAATTATTTTCACATTTATTGTGTCATCTGTTTGACAATTTAAAATTGGCGCGCGGAACTTGCCGACCAATGGTGCCGTTTATCACCTGTGACGTAGTGACCAACCTGCGCAATATCATACCTTGTATTCTTTGTATCATGACTTGGATAGGATAGGATAGGGATGAATATGGATAGGGAACAAATTCCTTTGTTCCATATAGGTATTTATATTTTGTTACTTATAATTTTAGGTTATACTATTTGTTATTTTATTTGCTGCAGGAGCCAGTATCATCTATTTTCTATATGTATTGGTGCCCCCTTTCTCTGAGAGATATGTTAAAGACACCCAGCAAAATAAACGTAAGTAGTTATATTTATCATCTTATTAAGAAAAAAGTATAAGTAGTAATGTCAAAAATATTTCGAACCTCTCTAAACATAACAAATTATTACAATTAATTTTTTTCATTTTTTGAGTAGGTAGTTTAAGCTGGTTTATAGTAACCAGAAACTTTATTAATATACCTATTTTACTTTTGTTTTAGGATTAAAACTGGACTTGAAAATGGTTCAGGATCATGATTCTCGTAAAGTCTTCTTTGCTTGGATATTCACTTTGTTATTGCAATTAGGCGGTTTTTTCGAAAATGAGATTTTTAATGCCCTTTAAAAAAATTGGCCGATCGTTTCCTGCAACAGTCAGTTTTTCTGCATTTAAAATTGGTAGGTGGGTGGAATAAACACTGTTATTTTTTGTTATTCTATTATAAAAAGTTTATTTATTTTTATGTATAAATAAATATGTTTACAAAACAGTACAATTTTTGCTTTTTTTATAATTTCCCTTATAATAGTAGTATTCTTTCGTTCTGAAAGAAACTGCAAATATTCACTTAAACTGATTTATTCCCTACACCACGTTTTAGTGAAAATTTTCAGTTTCAGAATGAAAGAATACTACTAATAATGGCTAATTTAAATTTTCCGCCAGCCAGAATGTGCGATAATGTCTTACGATACGTTTTATACCTATCTCTTTCTTTTTCATATAAAGCACACATAATAAAGAAAGATAGCAATAAAGACGTACGTCCTGCCATGGTCCTGCTAATTGGTTTCAAAATTGTTATTCTGAGTTGCGCTACTTGAGCGCGGTCCCACTCTTTACCATGGGATTTGTCAGTCTCTTTTTATTTGTTTGTCTATGATTTCACCCGAATATTGAAATTTAATTACTTTTGACAATGACAAAATTATAGCTTGTAAACCTAAGATATGTCAGTTTTTGCTGATGTTTGATTGTTACCTGTTCGGTTTAATTTAAAAATAAATGCAATCTTTCTCAAATTACTCAAAATTGGTCCAAAATTGTTCAAATTTGGTATGTGTATTTACCATACATAAACCTTTAAAAAATCTATTTACGACTTCGCTGTAAAATCAATAGGAGAGCCAATATTTGAACAGTTAAAAATTTGCATGGGATTTCCTATGTTTCCTACGACGCACTATGGTATGAATGATCACATTTGACGCCAAAAGTATGCATATACTATCTATCCACAGAAAAGGTGTTGAATAGGAAAAACTTTTTTATTTTTCATTTTATCAATAAAGTTACTGCTGATAAAAAAAAATTGTAGTCATGTAGCCTTTAAAACATCAAGAATATTTTTTATATCTAAGTAATTTTTTGTGTTAAATTGTCATTTGTTAAAATTGATCAGGAAATATTAAAGAATATGATTTTTTAACTTGCCAGAGATTTTATTTATTTTTTAAAAGCAACAAATTCTTTAAATTATTGAAGCAAATATCGGTTTTAACAATAATTGAGATTTTAACGAAGCTTCAATATAACAATAAATTTATAGAAACTTAAGAATTCTCAATAAGTTGCGTTGTGCCATTTTAACAAGATCTCTACATCTAATAATAATTTCAACTTCTAACGAATTTTTCCTGGACAAGGTAGCGAAATACCTTTTTACAGAGAAAGTAATAGATTTTTTTAAATAATCCTCATAATATGGAATAAGTATGAATTTAGAGCAGAAAAGTCCTAAGTTTCCACAAAGTCAATAGTACCTAATAAAATTTAAAAAAACTTTAAAAATTGTAAGGCTGCGCTGTTAAAATGTTTTGGTAATGTTAATGTAGCAGAAAAAAATATAGTATTTCTTGTGTAGTGTTAACAAGTGACATATTTCTATATAATATAATGCCTTTTCACTACTACATAAGTGCAAATAAGTTATTTTTATTGAGAAGTAAAAAAATAGCTACTTTTAAATGTATCCGCCATCTTGGATTTTAAAAAATATCAACTTTGCCCTCTGAGATATGTAACTTAAGCCCTTAGACTACCTTCACAATATTTTTTTGGAATATGGAATAAATATTAATCAATTTACAACAAAACTCAGGTGCGGTTCCTGAGTTACGTGTCTGGTTACGTGGAACGCAAGCAAAATCATTGCACAATAAATGTCATTAAATCTATCAAACCTGAAGTTTTCTGCAAAAAAACTTTATTTCCCACTAAAGTAGGTACGGCAAGGAAAACGACCCTGTAAAAAGTTTCGCTATAGTTGCTAATATATTTTTTTGTAGTCCAATACAAATTTTTAAAAACTGAAAAAAAGTGAAAAGTTTGCATCATTTTCCTATTTGTTTTATTACTGAAAAAGTCTAAACCTAAAATGACGTACTTATTTAAAAATTTATTTTACTTACCTTCCTCTAAAACATCCATATTAAGGATATTTTAATTTTAAGATATGTAACTGTTAAAACACGTCCCGAATATAGAAAAAACCGATGACTAAAGAATATAAGGACATGTAACGCCCCTAACGGGCTGCAGCAGAATTTGTGACTTTTTTTTTGTTTTGGTGGCAAACAATGAGTCATCATTTGGTCACCAGCGACAATTTTAGCGATTTTTAATAGTTTGTGTGTAGTAAACTTTGTATAAACTTTATTACAATGGTGATTAGTTGTTCAGCTTTCAAGTGTAAAAGCAGCAGCGATAAGAAAGAGCCAGGAGTTACGTTTCATAGGTAAATAAACAGTCCACTCCAACTTTTTAGCGTTTTCTTATTGAATTCGATAATTATTCTTCAATTTCAATTAACATTTATATGTACTTGATATGTGCTATACGTCGATACTAGTTTTGTATCTTTTGTTAACATTTTAGTACGTTTTTTCGTAATTAGTTAGGATGATACACCATAGGCGTAGTCAAAACAATTATCAAAAAATATAAATATTGCTTCAAACAGCTAGGTTAAGAAAAATATGTGCCACGGCACTGTTTGGTGACAGCGTCACAATTTGCTCTCGGGTGTTATTTGTCCTTGGATTCTTTAGTCATTGGAAAAAACCTACTACTTATGAGACATTTAGCCGGTGGAAAATCAAACGTCAAGTTGACAGTAAAATGTATCAAAGCCTACTTGATTATTCGTAAAATAAATATGTGTGTACAATAAAGGGCACATTTAGCAATTCATAAGATGCATATTTTTGTTCTTGAAAGAATGTTAAAAATTGGACTATTGGCGCAAAATTCAAGTATTCAGACCATAGTTCGACGCGACGATGCACCACACGTAGAACTCATTAAAATAAACCAAACTCCCCGTTTTGATTAGTTTCTACAAATATTTTTTTTAGTTAGCACAAATGATATTAATTAACTAATTAGTCTACAAAATTAACGTTACATTGTAACAAATACCATGCTATAATATGTATTATGTATCAAAAGTTACAAAAAGCTCAGAGTAAACAAAGATATCAACATTAAAAGGATCAACATTTAATGAAAAACCGTAAATTTTTATTTTTGATATCTTCTAAAAAATCAGTTCGTAAAACTATTGAAAGTAATAATAATACTTTATTCAAATTCAAGATGTATTCTCCCACTGCATGTATTATAATGAACTATTTACTCCATTTTAACGAGTTTTTTAAAACGTATTTTCTTCCAAAGTAAACTGGCAAACTTTTATTGATCAGTTTTAAAATTTATACGGAATTTTCTATCTTCAGGTCGCCGATGCAACACACGGTATAATGTTTATATTTCATGATTTACCTTGATCATTGGCTATTATTTCAACTTTTCCTTGTTGCCAAACTCCAACGCACGAATATGTGGTACCCAAATCAATACCGATAGCTGGTGTCTTTACCATTTTGATCTAATATTTTTTTATAAACCTTTCAATTTCAATCGGAATATATTTTAAAAACAATATGTCTCGTATAAGTAAAGTTTTTTACTTACCTTGAATATTAAAGTAATATGTAGGAGTTTCTCCGAAGCATAAACTAGAACACTGTAAATTTGAATTTGACTTTGATTTTGACGCGGAAAATCAAGAAAATCCTGTTGGCCGTTGGTTTGAAAATGACTGGTGTTCGATCGTTCGGGATTGGGGAGTACGCGTTTGCTTGGTCGATAATGTACACGGTGTCGCCAAAAATATAAATTAGTAATATCCGTTGAGCGAATGAGCTATAAAATTTTATTGTGGAAAGTTTTAAATCAGACTTTTTTCATGTTATTTTAATGATAAAATAATCAATCCTTTGCGCTTGCAAGAAACTAATTTTAACGGAGATTAAAATGTTAGTTAATAATACAATATGGTCGGAAAAAAACGGCGTCAGCGATGGCTATGAAATGAAGATCGCTGTCATTATATATAAAATTATATGGGAAATGTCATCGATTCAAGTCCAAGCCAACTGGACGCCGTTTTCGAACATACTGTATCTTAGAGTAAGCTAAATAAGAATAATAATTATAAATACAGGGTGGTCCGATTTGTATTCGGGAAACTTCGGCAGCATATTCTGCAGATAAAAATAAGTAAATGAGTTCGTATAAAAAATGTAGGTCCAAAAATGGTTACAGGGTGTAGAAGTTTCATTTTTATTTCGTTTTTTTTTCAAATAATTTATTAACAATAGTAGATACATATTTGGATAGAAATTGGTGTCTGGGAGTTTCTTCACATGAGTAATTTTATTTTGATGTCAATATGATTCCTACTAAAGTCCCTAGATATATAAAGTACCGCAATTGGTTTGTTCAATGTTATTGGCGCCAAAATGGCGGATTTTTGGGGTATTTCTGGAAAAACTGTAGTGGTAGGACTGTTTAAATGTCACATTTGTCTGAATTTGTCATGTCAAATGTTGAGAGGCTGTCAATTTCAGGATAAAATTATTTATCCACATATTTTAAAATAATTATAAAGCCACTAAAATGCTACAAATTTATTAGTTAATAATGTATAGGCGTCGATATCTTTAGTGAAGAAATGTGTATCACACGAAAAATTTGATGTGTTTTCTAACATCGTCGATATTCAATACACGTTAGGTAGTGGATTGAATTTATTTATGCTCCAGTGAATATTTTTAACAATTTTATTTGTAGTATAACCTACTGGTACATAAAACTTCATTATAGAACAAGACAAGACCACAATAGATCTGAGAAGGTCGCAGTGGGTCAGGCCGAAATCAACCTCTAGAAATCTAATCTAGAACAAGACAAAGACCTTACTTGCAAACTACCATACATATCTTTTAAAAAGGATGCTAAGTGTAAGTGAAATCTCTACGTAATCATTCCCTAAAATGTTTAGTGTAGTTTAGTTTTCAACATTTTGCAGCAAGAAGTTTAGATAAATCTACAATATATTATCATCAGACCAAACGAAGGATAATTATTTAAAAGAATAAGTTATGTTATGATACATATATAGATTTGGATGACATCGCTTCAGGTGGTTTTACCAGTCAGGACTAACAGGGATATTAATCAAAACAATGAAAAAAAGCTCAAATAAATTTGATCCTAATAACAAGAATGTTGTTTATGCATATGCTAACTATATAGTTATTTTCATGGACTTAAATAGATTAGTTTTTATGTATTTATTGATAGTAATTAATATTTTTTGGTTCATATTGTAATTACTAATAGAAAGTAAACAATATAATGTAAGCATGTAAAGTTATATTTAAAAATTTGGTCTTATACTGTCAGTTATAAATAAAAGTGTGTGATTTAAATTTGATTTTTATACATGACATAAAATTGTTAAGATTCATTTGAAGTTTTACATATTGTCGAGGTAAAATTATTCCTACTTAATTTATGTATAACAATAATTACAGTTATTTCAATGTTAAATTTATAGCAGTATAACTTTTTTATTATAATGATACTTAAACATTATGACACTTGTTGTTTTAAAAATATAACATTAAATTGCAGAGTAAAATATATTTTAATTGTATTATGTGGTATTAACTTGCTTTTATTCAACTAATAATAAATTTGTTGTATAAAAACCACTCCATAACAAACCTTAATTATACAGCATACATAAAGAGCTCTTATGCATTTCAAGCTTCTTTCTAAGTTATTTTTAAATTAAGTGCACAATTACATACCTAAAATTCCGAAACTACCTGAAGTAATACTAATTGAAACAATCTTTCTATCAATATATTAATATATTTCAAAAATAGCAGGTATGTATCATATCAATTTAATTATTACATTTATTTGTTTCAACCATGGTTCAAAATTTTCTCGTATAAAAGCCGGCCTTCAAATTTAAGTTTGTAGCTTATTCATAGTTCCAAAGACTTTCGTTAAATCATGCTTATTTGTCAAAACTAACTACAGCATAACTGGTATAATAGGGAAAGTTTACTTATGGTATAGGTATCCCGTTCTCATCAACAAACAAAGTTTTTCCAATTGTTTCGACTGAATTAAGTACTAAAATTCTAAATATTATTCCAACTTTATTTCTTCTTACATATTAACTTACTTCTGTTGGCGTACTTTGCGCTAAAAGGTAACATAAAATAAATGCTAATACAAATGAAAAACACTTGTACGGAAACCATTCGTTTATAACCTCTTAACATATATAGGCCTAAAAAATTAAATTTATGAAATTGAATATTAATATACCACCTGATATTACGTTAAAATGAAGGTAAACTGTAGATAATAAACGTAATTCTATTACAATTAATAAATATTTTATTTTACGGCTTGCCTGTCAATGTTGGTCGGCCATATTGGCGCCGGACCGACCAGATGCTTAAAAAGCCGAAACAGCGAAATGTTGGCCTCCTTTTTAAATTTGCCGCTAGTTTTGGCGCCAATATGGCGGTAATTGCGGTACTTTATATATCTAGGGACTTTAATTCCTACTTGTAGGGGGCGCCATCTACTGGTTCTTTAACTGTTTTCAAGAGTAATAACTTTTCGTCCGTACCTGTATAAAACTACTGAGTGGAAAAATATATAGGTCCGTAATTTTTTACGTAAAAAAGGTATCTTGATAAAAATCGCTGTAAGTAACCGTTCTCAAGATATTTCAAATGGAAATAGTCAATACATGTTATTATTGAGAAAAAATAAACATGTTATTTCACAAAAATGTTAAATTTGGGAACTTTTTATTTTTTTACATTATAAGCCTAATTTTTTCTAGACAAAATTATGATAAAACAGTTTCTGTTGAACTTTTATTTTTTTAATACAAAAACATTTCAAATTTGTTATTTAAATGTGATATTTTTATCAATGATGACATGTAGTGACTATTTCTATTCCAAATATTTTGGGAACCATTACTCGTATCGATTTTTACCAAGAGGCCTTTTTTACTTAAAAAGTCACGGAAATGTATATTTTTTCACTCAGTTGTTTTAACCAGGTACGGACGAAAAGTGATTACTCTTCAAAAAAGTTAAAGAACATATAGGTGGTACCCCAAGAAGTAGGAGTCATATTGACGTCGATATCAAATTTCTCATGCCAACAAACTTCCAGACACCAATTTTCATCCAAATATCGGAGTTAATTCAAAAATTGTTTGAAAAAAATCGAAATAAAAATGAGATTTCTACACCTTGTATCTCCGAAACGAAACATTTTAGGACATACATTTGTTGGAACTATTTTTGAACTTTAACATTTATACGAATTTTTTTACTTATTTTTATCTGTAGAATATGCTGCCAAAGTTTCCCGAATAGAAATATAATAATTTTTAAGAAATATTTATTCCCTATCTCTACGGGTTTAGTAGCAAGACAAAGTTTTGTATCAATGTCACAAATCAATATCACAAACATGTATCACCTCCAAAGGGATTAGACCACTTCCAAATATGTAGAGATACAGAAAAACTCTTGTTATAAAAAATTTTTAAAAATATATCGCACCTTCAATGATAAAGAGACCTATAAAGTCAAAATAATTTGTATTGTGCCACTTTATGATTGAAGGTGCAATAAGTTCTTCAATTTAATGCAAATAAAACTTGTGAAAAAAAGTATGAAATTATTAAAATATTTGTCTGATGAAAATTTTTATTTTTCAATATACCTGGTCGAGCATAGAGGAATGCCATGCAACTGTCCAAATATTAGCTTCCCTATTGATTTAACAGGGAAGTCGTAAATAAGTTTTTTAAAGGTGTGCCTATGCTGAATTCACATGCCAAATTTGATCAGTTTTGGACAAGCCGATTTTAAGTAATTTAAGAAAAACTGCATCTATTTTTAAATTAAAACTGAACAGGTAACAATGCAAAACCAGTCAAATGTCAACATACCTTAAGTTGTCATCAAATGATTTTATCATTATTAAATGTAATTTCTTGTGCTGTCTACAGTACTACTTACACTTAGTGTCCCGTTATACTACCTACACTTGTGTAGGTAGTGTACGTTATACTACCTACACTTAGTGTCCCTTAAGTGTATTTTTATAATTTAAACCCAGTTCGAATGAAGCAAAACTCTTAACGTTGAGAAAATACAATTTGACATTGACAAAATTATAGGATGACAACTTAAAGTACGTTGGCAGTTGCCTGGTCTTGCATTGTTAACTGTTAAGTTTCAATTTAAAAGCAGTTTTTCTTAAATTACTTAAAATCGACTTGTCCAAAATTGATCAAATTTAGCATGTGTATTTAGCAAACGCAGACCTTTTAAAAACCTATATAAAACTTCGCCGTAAAATTAACAGGGGAGCCAATATCTGGTCAGTTCAAAATTTGCATGCGATTTCCTATATGTTTCCGACGACGATGCATCACCCGGTATATTATTTTCATCCAGTCTGAACACAATACAAATAAATTCTATAATAAACAAATTTACTGTATTTTTTTATAGATTAGAGAATTTTCAATAATTTTGGTCCATCCGTGTATTCAATACTGGCACCATTTTATGGATGATGCACTTGAACAATCTCCAGCGTAGGTCGTATTAAAATAGGTAGGTTTATTTATTTATACATCTTTTGTAAGTGTCAACAAATAGCTAAACGGCCTTGAGCACCTGATATATATTTTTTGCTTTTTGAAT